AGTTGCCAAATACAGTCTTGATTGTTTACCCTGTCTAAATCAGGAATGTGTGCACAGCATGAGGCCAGAAGGACAATGCATCAGAACTTAAATTGTTTGGGGATAGTCTGAGAATAGAAAAAACATTGTAGATATAAAACAGTGCTCATTAAAAGGGTAAAACAGGAGTAATATTTATTTTCCTTCTAAAATTTAGGTGCCATTGATTTGTTTTAATATGCAGAAAAAGTATTTACAAACATTAAAAAATCTCTCTGGCAGAGGCAGAATGTGCTGTTACTTACATTAAGGTACCAGGAGCTCATAATTTTAAAAGTTTGTAAGCCACCTCCATAATGTTATCCTTGGCACCCAGCACAACAACTCAAGATCTTTGTCACTGTTGGGAAGGAATAATTTTTCTTGTTATTATTGCTACCCACCAAATCTTCATTCCTCTTTTTCTTCTGCTCAACAAGAGATATTTAGAAGTGTCAACAAGAGACTCGCAGAAGATGGCTTTGCTCCGAGCCACTCACAGTGAATAAAGGAAGATCTTACAACAGCCATATGGGCACCACTGATTTTTCCTGTCCCTTGGCACCTAGAAGCAGGCCCTGGAGACACACTATAGATAAGTTTCTCTGTATTGTGGATTGAAACACAATTTACCTATGTTTTTTACAACTGTCACTACTTTTGTGCAGCTGTTTTAATTTCTATGGTGTGCATTTGCAAGAAAAAGATGGTATTTGCACACACTTGGGAAACTTGATTTCAGGGAGTGAAGAAAATGTTGAGGAATGACATTTTTTTAATAGACTGCATCTGACAAACAACTGGACCAATCCATCTGTACCAGGGAGCAGTGTGTACACATGTGTGCAGAGGCAAAAAGGTACAATCACAGGGCAGAGAACTGTGACCAGGAGAACACAAAAAGTCTTGTGAAATGTGCAAAAAAGAGATGAAAAAGATGGAAAAGATTGCAGCAGGTGAGTAAACACAGCACATACACAAGGGCAATATTCCCACATCCTTGAGTGTGTGTTTGTGAGGGCCCTGGATTGCCCTGAACATCTGGGGCCCTCACTCCCTCACTCACTCACTGACTCACTCACTCACTCACTCACTCCACTACTCATCGGTCCCTCTAAGCTCAGGTGTACCTTTCCCCAGCCCTTCCTCCTGGATGCACCTTGGACTACCTCACAGCACTGTGGCCTCTCAGGACTCTTCCACTCACCCTGCCTGGGGCTGAACCCTGTGTCTCCACTGCCAGGCTCTGCCCTCTCTCTCTGGATCCTGTGGAATTATGTTATGATTTGAGAGGGCCCATGCTGGGGGCATCCACTTTGCTTCCTTCATGAAACAATGTGTTCTTGCTGCTCCCTGAGAATATCAAAGCAGTCCTGGCCTTGAGGAGCATATGCAAATCATAGAATCACAGAATGGCTTGGGTTGGAAGGGGCCTTAGAGATCACCCAGTTCCAATCCCCGTGCCATGGATAGGGACACCTCCCACCAGGCCAAGCTGCTCAGAGTCCCATCCAAGCTGTCCCTGAACACTTCCAGGGATGGGACAGACATCCACAGCTTCTCTGGGCAGTCTGTTCCAGTGCCTCACTGCAGGCACACAGTTTGTAGGATTGGGAGTGGGGCTGGGCCCAGCCTCATCTCCCATGGGTACAGCTGTGAGCAGCAGGTGAGCAGCACTGACAATAATGAGCCATAGAGCGCTCAGGGGCACTGAGCAACCACCAAAGGAACAGAGGGCACACAGGTGCAATGCATCAACAGGAGGGTATAAATGGTTGAGCTGGAGAGCAAGAAGGGTAGACACTTGCAGCCTTTTGATGTGATGTTATTTTGTATGGGTTGAAGCTTTCTGAGACTGTATAGTGACACTCTGTGTATTGTGGCGGTCTCAACTGCAACAGATGCTGTGGCATCTCACCACCCTCAATGTAAGGAGTTTTTTTTTTCTAGTATCTAATCTGAACCTACTGTTTTTTGGTTTAAAGTTATTTCCCCTTGTCCTGGGGGAATGATGTTTTATGGTAAAAATGTTCTTTCTATCTTTATTGCAGTCTCCCTTCTGGTACTGGAATGCCACAATGAGGTCACTCCACAATGTTCTCTTCTCCAGCCTGAACAATCTGATTCTCCCAATCTTTCCTTATGTGGGAGGTGCTTCATCCTTCTAATCTTCTTGGTGGCCTCCTCTGGACTCAACCCAACAAGCTGATGTCCTTCCTGTGCTGGGGATGCCAGAAATCACCAAGACTTCTCAGACACTCATCACTTGGGCCTGTGTCATTTGCCAACCACTTCTGCAGAAGGTAACAGCCAGGGTCAGCAGAACATCTTGTGTCTTTCTGATACTGGAGCTGGAACATGTCAAATGTGTATCAGTGAAAACCCTACTTCATAGAAACTCTGCTCTCTGCAGTTTCATGTTTCTTTCACTTCTTACATAAGGTGAGATTGCATCCCTAAACTGTCCTTGCTACTGATAAACATGGCACAAACTCATAACATAACAGATTGCTTCTGTGCTAATGAAAATTAATTTAATAACTGCTAGGGACACCTAGACTAGTCTTTTTTTGTATGAGATTTATAAAGTTTATCAAGGCCAAAGTCAAATTGAAAAGAATCTTGTCATGTTTGGAAAAAACCCTTACTATCATTTCAATATAGAGTGATGGGATATTTCATCAGCAATGCAATGTGTTGAAACTATGGACAAACATTTGACATGGTATTTCACAATATCCTAAACCCCATCTGCATTTGTAAACAGTATTTAAGGAGGCCAGGCTTGCTTACACTGAGACGATGTTATCTGGGGAAATGCCAGGCTAATGCTTATTCTTGCTAAGCCCTCATTCCCTTATGAAAAGTCTGAAATTTTAAAACTTTGACTCTTCTGAATCATCCAAATCCAATGAAATCTGAACAAATATTTCATTTGCCTGTCAGCTTGACAACAGTAAAAAGCATTATACTCTTGGTATGAGCAGCTGCAAAGCACATACATCCTCTCCTGATGTGGGTGCTTGCCATTTGTTTGTTGTGATATGCTGATGTGAGAATTCACAAGCTACAGTTCATGAAATCAAATTTCCACTGAAGGGAATGAAAGCTGGATTTGGCCACCTATATTTATTTACCACCTTGAACTGCAGACTGAGTAACTGCTTTTTGTTCCTGTTGTTGTCTGCACCACCTTTGTATCTGGAGAGATACAGTACCCACGGTGAAAAAATGGAGAATGGGCTAAGAAATGTAAAGCAGCCTCAGGTGTAGTTTCATGTTTGAGTCTGCTACTTTTACATTACAGCTTTTTTCTTTTTCCGCTCCTCATCAGCTGAGATCCCATTCCTGAGCCCACCTCTATCATGTGTATTTTCCCAAGGGTATTGTCGTGGCTGTGTGTATTGTCATGGCTACACAGAAGCCTGTATTGGTGTGTTCAGTCTTCCCCCTGATCAAGAAGTCTTTGCTATAAGGTCATGTCCATCTCCTCATGGAGAAGAAGAGGGTCAGGTAAGGCCAATGGCATCCTGACCTGGATCAGCAATAGTGTGGCCAGCAGAAGCAGGCAGCTCATCCTTCCCCTGTACTTGGCACTGGTGAGGTCCCACCTTGAGTGCTGTGTCCAGTTCTGGCCCCTCAGTTTGGGAAGGATGTTGAGATGTTTGAGGGCATCCAGAGGAGGCAACGAGGCTGGAGAGGGGCTGGGAACACAAACCCTGTGAGGAGCCCCTGAGGGAGCTGGGCGTGCTCAGCCTGGAGAAAAGGAGACTCAGGGCTGCCCCCATCACTCTCTGCAGCTCCTGAAAGGTGCCTGTGCTCAGCTGGGGCTGGGCTCTTTCTCCAGGCGGCACTAACAGAACCAGAGGACACAGTCTCAAGCTGCGCCAAGGGAAATATAGGTTGGATAGTAGGAAAAAAGTTTTTTATGGAAGGAGTGATAAAGTTCTGGAACGACCTGCCCGCGGAGGTGGTGGAGTCACCATCCCTGGATGTGTTTATAAACAGACTGGATGTGGCGCTGGGTGCCATGGTTAATTGAGATGTTGGGGCTGGGCTGGACTCGATGACCTTGGAGGTCTCTTCCAACCCAGTGATTCTGTGAATTCTCTGAATTCTTATCTCTCCCTACAACCCCCAGAAAGGAAGGTATAGCCAAGAAGGGGTCAGTTTCTTTTCCCAGCACAGGACGAGAGGAACTGGACTTGATTTACACCAGGAGATGCTCAGGTAGGCCATAGGAGTAATTTTTTCACAGAAAAGTTTGACTAAACATCGGAATGGGCTGCCCGGGGAGGTGCAGTCACCGTCCCTGGAGCTGATTAGGGGCTGGATGTGGCACTTAGGATGGAGGTGTTTGGTCAAAAAGTTCGACTCTATAATCTCAGAAGTATTTTTCAACCTTCTTTATTCTGTGATATGCTACTAAAAGTAGAAATTATGTGTACATAAATGTGTGTGTGCGCGTAGCAATTGTGTTCCCGTACCAAATGACGCTCAGGGCAGCCCTATGCCAAAGTCC